ATGTGGCAGTGTGTAACAAGAGCCATGAAGTATTCTACTCCCGAGTCTTTCTCTGAAGGAACTGGAAGTAATTCAGCAGAAGTAAAAAGAAATGTATATAAAAACCAAAAATAAAAACAAATCTTTACTTCCTCCTCATTCTTCCTCCCCTCCTCCCACTACTATCAAAAAAAAGTTGGAAATAGCCTAAATTTCCAACTTAGTTGAATGGTTTAATACATTAGAGTAAATTAATATGAGGGAATATTATACAGCCATCAATTGTGACTGCTACCTGTAAACGTGGAGGATGTTTAGGATCTGTTGTTTCAATAGCATATATGCTCTTATTGTAGCTATAAGAAATAAATGTAGCACACTTGAAAATTAATACGCAAAAATGAAAACAACTGGGAAAAGTGATTATGTACTTATTTGGTTAAATATTTCTTTAATCTTTTAGCTTTTCTAAAAAAATTGTGTGGGTTGCAGGGTAATGGTTCTTTGGGATCACCTAGTATACCTACTAAATTCCACATAAGCACTAAGCTCAGCCATCTTACAGCGGCTCCTAAGACCCAGCCACAACAGGGTCTTAGTGGATGGATGTCTTCACCATAGAGACACAGAGTTCTTTTTTTTTTTTTTAACGTGTTTTAAATTTATTTTTGAGAGACAGAGACAGAGCACAAGTGGGGGAGAGGTAGAGAGAGAGGGAGACACAGAATCCGAAGCAAGCCACAAGCTCTGAGATGTCAGCACAGAGCCAGACATGGGGCCCAAACCCACAAATCGGGAGGTTGTAACCTGAGCCCAAGTCGAACACTTAACCAACTGAGCCACCCAGGCGCCCTGAGACACAGAGTTCGAAGGCACTGACTAGGTAGGTGATGGTTCTCCTCTGTCATTTTGTTTGCTTAGTTCTAGGATGCAAAATAACTACTGTGGTTTATTCTACTTTTTCTAGATGTGGATGCCTTGAATTCATAGTTTTAATATTTTAAAATATAGATTGTTTTCCTTGGTGATCCCCAAATTAATTTCAGATATCTAACAAAGTCCACAAAAGTACAAGTGAACATAAAACTGCTCTGGCATAGGGCTAAACGGGCAATATTATGCAGTAGCATTCAAAAACCAGTTCAATTTCCTTTCCCCCCTTCCTCTTATAAGTGGTAAAAGTCCTCAGCACCCTGTACTGTCCTTCCAAGGAAAGAGAGGTCCAAAGAAGGGCTGCACAGAGAAATCCAAAAGTAAACTGGCTTATTTCTTTCCACGGAGAGACTGTCCTATAAAGATCTTTTCTTGCAAAGCAGCCTCCCCAGTAGTATCACTTGCCACCAAGCCCAGGAATGAGGGAGGGAAGATTTACCCCTGAAAAAGAAAAGAAAGACAAAGCCACGAGAAGGACCAGTACCACAGCAGATGTCTACCTGGGTCTCCCTACACTGTCTTAGGTGAGAGTGGCCAGGAAGGTTTTTTTCCCCTACAAGTGTGCCTTTCTTTGTGTACGCCTTTATTCCCACTAAGTGAAAAGAGATGCCCCCAACTGGGGAGTGGGGTGTTTGGAGTGTGTGCAAGTATGTGGATTCATTAAACCTTGACAAACATTGAGTGAGCAAGTTTACCGGGACCTGTTGGGGGAAGGAGGTTTTGTTAACCGATAGGATGAAGAAAGCGATGTTGATACCAAACCACCATGAAAAAAAATGAGACTTGTGTTCTGTTTCCACCGTGGCCACCATGTAACGTTATGCTTTCCCTCAAATCACCTACGTGTCTACACTTATTTTTTGGTAATGTGACTACAGTTTTTTCCAGCATTTGTTGACTCCACGTCTTTATTTCAAGCCTCAACTACAACCAAATAACTCTGGTTCTAAATTAGATAAGTAGAAAAAAAAAAGACGAATTTTGTATTAGCTCCTTGAGTCCACACTGAATCATGCCTACATCTAAAACCAATATCTGTATAAGATGCAAGAGAATCTCAAATCAGTTCAAACTCCCATAAACAGCACTGTTTTTAATCTGTTGCCTACAACATACCAATGAGAAAAATCACAGTATCGTGTCATAAGCTGCTATGCAAATGATGGTATTTGTAAGTATTAACATAATTTAGTGCTTACAGTCATATTCTCATTTCTAATAATTCTCCCAGAATGGAGTCTTTCTCTGGACTCTTAGCCTGCAGGATAGTCTTTCATCAAGAAGCTGAAATTTTTAATAACCTGCCAGCATATGTTTTGTATGTGCCAGGCTAGGCTTGATGACACAACATCTTCATTATCAAAAGAAACAGGTCTACAAACTGTAATAGGACATTAAAACATGTCTGTGCTCATAAAGTAATGCTTTGATGTCTAAGTGTGCACCATTACCATGGTCTTCTGGAACAAAGGATAATTCTAATCCTAAATTCTCAATAGCGCCCTCAGTGAAGATTGCAATTCACTTCCACTCTGAATACAATTTCACTTTGAAGGCAAAAGGAGGTCCATACTCTCCTACACACACACACACACACACACACACACACACACACACACACCACACACACACACACACACACACACACACACACACACACACACAAGTTTTCCGGAACTGCTTTATTTTTTATTTTTAGTTTTGGCTTCTAACTACATCCTGGCTAAGCATAGTTCCTCACCATACAAAAAGATTTCTGCTGAATACTTATTTTTTCCTTGTTAAGTTAAAAAAATGATTTAGATAATTAATTATTCAGGAGTTTCACATTTAATAATATTAACACTAACGCTGAATGTATTTGGTGACAATTTTAAATGGTGTAGTTTAAAATCATTGAAATTAAATAATGTGTAGTCGGACTTTTAAGTGCAATTTGGCCACATGTCATTATTCTAACTATTTTTTCAAAATTAAAGTCAAACATTTTAAATTTATCATAGTCGAGTTTCAGGGAATTCTTTAAAAATTATTAGTTTGAAATCTCGAGACCAGCAAATACTTTGCACACTAACATTTTTGATTTTTTTAATAAAAAAGTTATATTTTCATGGTTTAATCTCAGCAGCTTTGCCTTTAAAAAGAATATTCTATACAATATGAAAAAAAATCCAGTTTAAAGAGAACACAAGAGAAATCTCTATGGGCCTCAAAATTAAATACATTTTCCTTGTTTTATTTTTTTTTTCTAGAAGAGTAATTCACTTTAGTATCCTTTAAATAATATGTAAAAAGCTGGCCCTGACAGGTACTGCATTTAGTCCATTCACTGATGGAGGGAGAAGAAAAGCCCAGAATAGATCATGGGGAGAACAGGAACATTTGTCAAAGGGAACTCTCTCTTCTGACTGTTCTCTGGATTTATTCGTCATTTCACTTCTGCAAGAATAATGTGGTTCTCTCTTGTATGCCCCTCCCTTTTCGTCACTTGTGTGTCTTGATTCATAAACTGCTGGAGTGGGATGCTCAAAGCAGATGCAACTCACTGCCCAGCCCACTGCTATGTACTTCAGCAGGGAAGGAATCGGTTAAGGGAATTTGTACCTGAATTTTCCTCACTCATGCTTTTGTCAGTAGGTCAGTGAAAACAGAGATTTGAAATTAAGAGAAGCCAGGCAAAGGGCACCTGGGTGGCTCAGTCAGATGAGCACCCGACTTTGGTTCAGGTCATGATCTCAAGGGTTATGAGTTTGGGCCCTGCATCAGGCTTGCTGCTGTCAGCACAGAGCCCGCTTCGGATTTTCAGTCCCCTCCCCGCCTCTCTGCCCCTTTCCCACTTGCACTCTCTCTCAAAAATAAATAAATCTTAAAAATATATATATAGAGAGAGAAACCAGGCAAGACTAGGCCCCTGGATGCAAGGTGAGGCAGCTTTTAGAATGGTGGATTGAAGGGGTGCCTGGGTGGCTCACTCAGTTGAGTGTCGAACTTCGGCGCAGGTCATGATCTCTTGGTTAGTGAGTCTGAGGCCCACATTGGCCTCTGTGCTGATAGCTCGGAGCCTGGAGCCCTGCTTTGGATTCCTACCCTTTCCCCCACTTGTGCTCTGTCTCTCTCAAAAATAAATAAACATTAAAAAAAAAAAAAGAATAGTGGGTTGAATTTGTATATTGAGCCATTAAAATGACTTTAATTATTAAGTAAATTTGGAACAGACTAAGAAGTTGTACAATTCATCCTTCCACCAGTATACATGGAAAAATCTCTACACGTCCACTCATATGCTAAGGCTTCTTACCTAGTATTTAGTTTTGGCTGGGAGGTTTTCTGGCTGGGATGTAGTATTTTCTCGACATCTCATAGGGACCAGCAGTTACATAAATTTCCTTGAATTGGCTTCTAAACCATATAACTGCTGACAGAATGCTTTTCTATGTTAGCTTCCAGGTGACAACCCCTCACTAATAGAATTTCTCTCTCATAATAAAATATAGCCAGCTTAACAACAACAGTAAATGATGGGATTTGTCATGTTATTTGAATATGGTAAAAAAAAAAAATTACTCCCTGATTATCATAATCAACTTGAAGACATGACTGAAGACTCTTAGGGCCCAAAGAAGACATGTTTAAAATAACCTAATCATATAGCCTTCCAGTTATATGGAATGAATAAGTCGTTGGGATGAAAGTGACAGCATAGGGAATACGGCCAATGGTATTGTCATAGCATTGTGTGGTGACAGATGGCAGCTCCACCTGTGGTGAGCACCACGTGACATATAGAGTTGTTGAGTCACCGTGTTGCACAACTGAAGCTAATGTGACATTGTGTGTTAACTCTACTTAAATTTTTAAAGATTTTTTTAAAAGTCAGAAAAAATATTAAAATAACTTGATCCATCCCAGTCACTGTGTGCATAAGGACGAAGGCCCAAGAAAGTCAGAAGGACTCGCCTGAGGTCTTACTGCTGATTGATGACCCAGCTGAGTCTAGAAGAAAGTGCTTTAATCTCCCAGCTGAGCCTTTGCTTCATCTCCTAACGGTTCACAGACACTGTGGGTTTATGTCACCATTGAACACTCACTTGTGCCCATTTCTTGCTCCAGTCTTCATGGCCATATCTGCTGCTCTCCTTTAGGAACCACTTGTAGTGCTTTAGGTGGGAAGGAATGTCACAAAACGCAGTCCCATTTCCTCCAAACTCATAGTCCATTTTAAAGAGCCAGCGTTGGATTTCCAGGTGATCTATGACCAGCTGACTCAGCTGTTCTATCATCTGTGGGGCCCAAGACACAGCAACATTTAATATCGCTAGCTTCCTAGATGCCTTCGTATTGCATTAACTTAGTTGTATCTTCAAATGACCTGTTCGTTTGGTTATCTTCTAATTATTAAGACAGATTAGAAGTTTTAAGTGATGTATCTATGAGGTGAAGAAACCACTAGCCAGGAGGGACGAAAGGCATGTTTAAAAGTATAGTCTTAGTTACGAGAAATTCTGAAATTATCATTTTGCTGTCTTTTGAAGGCAAAAGAAAGAATCTCTGAATATCTGTAATTGAATCTTGGTATTGTTTTGTTTCTTTTTTAGAGCATGATGTGTTTACTTACTGATTCTTCAAATGATTTTTTTTATAGTTTCAAGACCATAAAGAGTTATAGTCTTGAAAACTTTAACTGTTTGGAGCTTTGCTGAGTTTTTAAATGTTGTAACCTATAAACATTTAATTTTTCCCTCATTAACATACACGAAATACATTTGTTTGGATAGTCAACTGGCCAAGTATGTCATATGTATTACATGAACAAGACAGGTCAAGGAGATAAAACATTCATAAAACAACTACGTTCTATTCGAGACAGTATTCTCTTGAGAACAGGGCTCAGTCCCATGGAAAGGGAAGGGATAGGAGTTCAAGCTTTAATATCACAATGACAGTAATATTTAGCATTACTGAACTCTTTGTAGGAGCCAGGCCTTTGGCTAGGTTCTTTACATGATTTTTCTCATGTAATACTCAAAAATGAAGCAGGCACCATTATTAGTTCCATTTTATATATGAATAACTGAGATTCAGTTAATTTAAATAACTTGCCCATGATCACATGGTGTTAAGTGGCAGAGTAGGGACTCCACCTGGGATGCTCTGACCCCAGCACCTAAGCTCATTCTCTCTCCGCCATGCTGCCTTCTTCAGCCTGCAGAGAGGTGGAGGAGGGGGGTGAGGCGGAGAAAGAAGTCAGAAGAGGAGCAAGAGAAGCAATTTTCCTTACAGTCAATAAGCCATTTGGAATAAATTTGAATCAGACAAAAGTCTATAGCCCAGATTGCCTGATTATAAGTAATACTGTAGAAGTAGAGCCTTGGAGAAAAATAACCCATTAGATCACAAAATGACTTTTTGTCTGGTCTTCCCATCAGATGTTCTGGTCTGTATTTCTCAAAGAAACAAAAACAGTTCTAAGCATTCTCTCTCTTGAGCTCTCTTGACTATGGTCTTCTGTCCATAGAGAGGTCTCTGTGACACTCTTGTTGTCTTCTCTTTGGATGAGATTGGCTTACCAAATGGATTTTTGAATTTTGGTTTTTTTAACCAAAGGGTGTGAAAGGGCTCAAGATCATATTCTGCTAAAGGCTGGAGCAAGAAGATTAAAATTATTTTGATTAAAGACACAATCTGTTCTCTGTGTTGTGTCTTTTCAGCAAGTCTTCCTGGGGATGTTATACTACACAGCAGTATGGAAGTGATTTCAAAATGGGCATACTTGGGATCCCCGGAAGCCCCATGCAACCATGGGGTATTCGATTAGGGTGGAAATGGAATTGTCTTAGCTCCCTAATTATCAAGTAGTGTCTGTAGATAATTTGGTGTTTAAATGACAAGTACTCTTGTCTGCATACCATATGGCTACGAGCATAGCCTAGAAGGTTTTGTAATGTGCCTTCCAGAGTGACATCCTTTCTTTCTCTAATGTTGTGTTGAGAAGATAGATTCTATATTTAATCATACTTTGCTGCATCATGATCACACTTGACAGAAGTATAAATGGTCTTTGGTTGTTAATATCTGATGAAATTCTTTTGCTAGTAAGGAAAGGTGTTCACGGTTTTTTAGTGTGCTAGCCTGTATAGCCTTTTCCATTGTATGCTTGGATATATTGTATATTTGGAGGTTTCAACTACTAACAGAATTATTATCTGTTTCTTCCAAATCCTATTATTTGTTGCTTCTGAGAATCCTATAAATGGGTGTCTGTTGATGGATCCCCTACAGTAATGAAAAGGATCAATAGTATTGTAAAGACTGCACCACTCGAAAGAATTATGTGCTATCTTTAAGTGAAAATTGAACAGTGCTTTAAAATAGCATTGCCATTTTTGATTATTTAACCAAAGCTGTCAATATTTTATATGGAGCACGTGTCAGAAAGAGAACTTGCATGGTTACTTTATGGATCAAAACAGGAAATGCTCACTGCGCTCATGCTAGATTTAAAAAATAAACAGATAAATTACTTCATCATAAACCAGATGACTTTATGCTATTTCCAAACATTTATCAATTTTCTATTTGATCCTATCTCTTCAAAAGAGGTAATATATTTCTTAATTGCCATTCATTTTATACTGGTGTAGAGCAGAAGTGGAAAAATGTGTATTGCTAAAATCCAGCTGATAGTCGGGAATATTTATTCACCTAAATTAAAATAATCACAGCTTTCTTTCACTGGCTTTAAGTTTATGGTGTACATTGGTAAAAAGTCAGTGTTACCGATTCATCACCATCTGCAAATTCAAATCGCTGACACAGATAGATTAGGTAGGGCAGCCACTATCTGGAAAAATCTCAGTGGAGCACTATAATTCCTGATGACCTCAGACATACGTTTTCAAACAAGTGGAGTAGAAGTCAGTGATAACTTGGTTTATTGTGAAACAATTTGCACATGCCGTAGGTTACGTGACGCATCCCTGAAATCCAGTTTGTCTACGACGAGGTGTTTAATCCTGATTCTGAATAACGGCATGAGAGGGAAGTTTTACTGCATTCCACAATTAACATATAGAGTTTTAAAATATTTCCTAGCCAAAATTGCCTGAGTTCTCGTCAGTGGAGATGAACGCAAGACTTAATACAAGTACTGCACATACATTTTAAAGCTTTGAAGACTGTTTAATGTAATGTACACGTGTAAAATTATATAGTCTTAAGGTGCATTTCACTTGTATCCAGTCTCTGAGCAGAGTATTCTACTGGGAAGCAGAGTCAAGCAATCCACTTTGTTACCTTCAAATTCCAGTGGAGACTAATGACAGTGAAAGGGACGCATCAATTCAGGGGAGTCTCTCTCTCACTCTTATTAAAACTGCCTGTACTTTTTCCAGATTTGGCTGTGTTTAAGAGCAACTTCCTTCCTGAGCCCATGTATTGCCCAAGAACACTCTAGCAAGACTGAAACCTTTTAGGGCAATTTAATAAGCTAACAATACCTTCAAACTAATCTCTGAGAAGTATAATTTGTTGAAAGGCTTGACTTTGGGGCTTAGCAGCGATGACGTACAGAACGTGATGATCAAGTGACTGAGGGAAGGAGGATCCCTAAATACTCTTCCTCACAAACTGTTTCATTGTGCATAGTTATTTAGTTTCCCAAGAAGTGGGTGCCTGGGATAGTTGTGACTGGCTGGGAGTAATGGTCAAAAGATGTACTGAAACAGAGGTTGGGAAATGTTAACAGCCATTTGTCTTTTTATTTTCCTTATTGTGAAAAAAAATAGCAGTTAAATGGGAGAGAACACCTGCCAGAGCTAACTTAAAGATCATTTCTGGTGACTAATATTAGAGTTCTCCAAATAGTTAGGAGGTCTGCTGGAGGAGTGCCTAGCGAGAGGCCTGGCCCAAAGCAAAAACGCAGAAGCAGATAGTTTTTTCTCGGACCCATTTCCTGTCCTTTTTCTGGGATTTTTCTCCTACTCCCTTGATGGCCCCTTCCTGTGGAGCTATGGGATTGTTTTACAGAGCCAAGGATGTCTGTAGCCCTCTGTTGTAGGCTCTCTACAGCCTGACTCAGCAGAAGGGCTCACTCGCTGGGGTTTTCCAAACCTGCCCTTTTTCACCAAAACTGACTCTCACATTTCTTAAGGGTCCTGCTCAATGACTGCCTAGCTAACGTGATGATGAGCTAACTAATCCATGTTAGGGCGATAAATACTGGTAGCAGATTTGTACATCAACAGGGCCTTCGATGGCTTCATCCAAATGAGTAAATATCTTGACAATCCCAGAAATTTCTGCAAGGCCAATAGGAAGATATTTTGAAACAGGAAGGCCTAAAGCAGATCCCATCAAATAACTTAAGCATTCCACATATTCTTCATTGTCTAGGGCTGGCCCCAGAAGACCTGAAGCTCCCACAAAGTCAGGAAGGTATGGAATATTTGAACAGAGCCTCACTCGTCCACCCACATACCTGCTGGTGACGATAGATGCCATACACTGCAGGAGGGACTGGCACATTGACGCTGTCAAAGACCAGTTTACTTCCAGACTTGCTGCTGTAGAGATGAGCCAGTTCAGGCTCTGGACCCAGGATGGGGATGCCTAACATATCCGCCACGGCCAAATCATCTCTGTGGAGGAACCCGCCGACAATGTAGGCCTCTTTTCCTTGGATGAGATTTTTTATTCTTTTGATCGCCTTGGGACTGTACATCAGGTAAGTGGCCAGGCACATATGATGCTTCTGGGGAGGGGAAGGGGAGACCATATCATTCTTGTTGAAAGGTGTTCTTTTTCTAGTCCATATGCTTCATTTATAATGTTGCACACAATAAATGCATTATTAATAGCAGGCTGGGTTATGACCTATCCTGTTGTTTAGCAGTTTAAATTGATAAAAGCTGTTGGGGTGAGGCTCCATAATCGCTCACATCTTTAGTGTGTTGGAAATAGGCTCACTGGGAATAGAACTAATTACTACACATCTGTATTTATTTGATCCACGTGGAATTATCCTTCTGTCAGAAGGAAAAGAGGCTGGCGGCCTTTGGATAATAGTGATTCATCTCTGCAACACTTCTGGCATGGTTTAACACTAAAGCGTCTGGAAAATCAATACAAAAAGTGAAGAGAAAAGCTTTACAGTATGTATGCTTCGCTATACAGGACTTCTAATCTGGCAACTCTTTAAAGGACTCGGAAGGAAAAGGGCACTTGATAGTCTCTTTCCAAAGTTCCGCCACCAAGTCCGTTTTAGGAAATAGGTACTTTTATAATGTTTATCGTGTTTCTTAGCCAACACTCTGGAGAGGATTCATGGACGGAAGATATGTGAAAATTTCAGCAAGACTTAAATTTTATCTTCCAATGGAAAACTCTTTTTATTTTAATTTTGACTATTTAGACCCAGCTCAGCAATACCGGTGACTGCTCATTTAATTAAGTAAATAATTTTGGCATGTCTAAAAGGGGTCGAGGACAGAGCCAGATGGTCAGCACGTACCAGAGCATTCAAGGATTGGGGACAGAAATGAGCACAGCCAATGGATAGCTAATACGAGGCAGAGGAGGACCATAAAGGGTTACAGAGGGCTGTGAGGCATGGAGGAGGGAGCAGAGGCCATGTGCTGATGGGGACAGCTGAGAAGGCAGATTACTCCTTCTCCTTGGACCTCAGTTTCCTCATCTGTAAAATGAGTATAATAATAGTACCCATCTCCTAGGGATGCTGTGAGGATTCAATGAGATCATGCATGTAAAGCGCTTATAATAGTGCCTTGGACATAATAAGCACTTAGTGAATGTTAGCTAGTATTATTATTATGTAAGAGGTTAGGATTGAGGTGAATTTTCAGGGATGAGTAGGATTTTATCAGGTGAGGATGGGCACGGGAAAGACATTAGCCAAGGATGGAATATGAGAATCCCAGATTGTGTTCACTTCCTCTACAGAGGAGGGCATCATGGCACGTGAGAAAGTGCTGGGGGCTTAGGAGTTGTGGCTGTGAATCTAGCTCTATCACTTGCAAGCTACCTGAACTCAGGCATGTGACTAATACCCCCACTGCCTAAGTTTCTCCATCTGTTCAGTGGAAATAAAAATACCCATTTGCTGGCTTTTTCTAAGGTTAAAATGAGATCATGAATGTAAAGCACTTGTTATAATACCTGGCATTGAGTTGATATTCAGTAAATGGTAGTAATTGTTATTATTAAATGGTAGTAATTAAAATAAAGCCATTAAAATGCCATGCACATTATATAATACAAGGTGCCAGTGTCTTAAGGGAGTTAAGGGATTTTGTAGACTCGCACCTACTTCTCCAGTTGTCATCCACATTATCTACTCAACACGTGGAGAAATGCTAAGCAAATGCAAATGTCTCTGGGAATGTTAGCGGCACTGGTTCGCAAACTGTTTAGAAAGTGTAACTGATAACTATGGGAGAGAGAGTGGGGAGAGCCCCTGGGTTTCAGTCCTGCCTGAATTTATAACTTGCAAGGTGATTTAGAAAACTCAACCTTTCTGAACCTCAGTCCCCGTATTCAAATGATGCATTGACTAGAAGTCTCTAGAGTCTTTCCAGCTCTCAAATAACTTTTCCTTTATTATTTTTCTTAATGTTTATTTAAAAAAATTTTTTTTAATGTTTATTTATTTTTGAGAGAGAGAGAGACAGAGATAGAGTGAACAGGGGAGGGCAGAAAGAGAGGGAGACAGAATCTGAAGCAGGCTCCAGGTTCTGCACCCTGTGCACAGAGCCCGATGTGGGGCCTGAACCTACCAACCACGAGATCATAACCTGAGCTGAAGTCAGACGCCCAACCAACTGAGCCACCCAGGTGCACCTATTTATTTATTTTGAGAGAGAGAGAGAGAGAGAGGGAGAGGAAGAGAGAATCCTAAGCTGACTCCATGTTCAGTGCAGAGTCTGATGTGCAGCTCGATCCCATGACTGTGAGATCATGACCTGAGCCGAAATCAAGAGTCAGATGTTTAACCGACAGAGCCACCCAGGTGCCCCTAACTTTCCCTTTAAAACCGGAGCTCTTCTGGGCTTACTATTTAGTGGGTACAGAATTTCTGCTTGAGAAGTTGGTAAAGTTTTGCAAATGGATAATGCAATTGTTGCACAACAATGGGAATGTACTTGAAGCCACTGAACTGCACATCTAACATGATTAAAATGGTAAATTTTAGGGGCGCCTGGGTGGCTCAGTCGGTTTAAGTGTCCAGCTTTGGTTCAGGTCATGATCTCATGGTTTGCAAGTTCAAGCCCTGCATTGGACTCTCTGCTATGAGCACGGAGCCCACTTCAGATCCTCTGTTCCCCTCTCTTTTTCTGTCCCTCCCCAACTTGTGCTCTCACTCTCAAAAATAAATAAACATTTTACCATTAAAAATGGTAAAATTTATGTTATGTATATTTTGCCCCCAATTAGGAAAAAAAAAAAAAAACAGAGCTCCTTTGAGAAGAGGGCTTATATGATTTATACTATTAGGCCCTTCTTCCAGAGCAAGAGTTCTATTTTCTTAGATCTGTGCAATATGCTTTTTCTGCCATAATTTAAATCCATTTTCTTTTTTTTTAAGTTTATTTATTTTGAGAGAGAGAGAGAGTGTGCATGTGTGTAAGTGAGTGGGGGAAGGGAAGGTGGGGGGTGGGGGTGAGAGAGAATCCCAAGCAGCTCTGAGCTGTCAGAACAGAGCCCTACTCAGGGCTCCAACTCACAAACTGCTAGATTGTGACCTGAGCTGAAATCAAGAGTCTGACTCTTAAACGACTGAGCCACCCAGGCGCCCCTAAATCTATTGTCAACACCTATTTCAAAGAATGCAATTCTAGGAAACCTAGTGTTCCACTGGGCAATGGCTGGTACCACCTCTTGAGTTTGTGTTTCCCATCTGGTTGATCACCCTCTTTCCTCCTTGTTTATCTCACCCCTCTCCTTTCCCTACAAATGATTCAGATGAGGAAATGTAAAAAAAATTAAACATCTGGGGGAACCAGGGACATGAATCGTAATGTACATGGTGGGCTTTATAGGGCACCTAGAAGAGTGTTTCAAGGTGGCAGTGCTCACGATGTAAAGGTCACATGGTCAAAGCCTTTCGAGATTATTCTCTTGTTTGATCCATAGAACACTGTACCAATTAACAGCCCCTCTTTTGGAGATGAGGAAACCGAAGCTCGGGTAATCTGCCCAAAGCCACACAGCTAGTAAAGGGCAGAGGCAAGATTGAAACCTGGGTATTAGCACAATTTTGTGCTATCAGCTGCCATAGCTTCTCCCATTCTATAGACTGAGTAGTGAAGGTCTGGTGAACTTATGAGGTGTGATGAGGGGTGGAGATGGAGCCGTAGAATCTAACGTTAGAGCACCAGGTCACTTCCAGACAAGCTGGATCTCTGTCTCCTCTAGGTTTGCTGATCTCTCTTGGCAAGTACTCGGCCTGACTCTGTTATAGTCAGTCATCTGTGGGCCTGCCTTATTCTTCAGGCAAGATGGTACCATAGTATTGTGTTTGATATGTGTTTAATAAAGATTTAAATATGAGCAAGTGATGGCACAGGACACATTACTGACCGCGGGTCTTGGACGACCATTCAGAATAAATCAGTATCATCAGATCCAGGCAGGAGATGAACACAGATGACAAAGATCTAAAATGTTCCTAATTCCAGGGGTGCCTGGGTGGCTTGGTCGGTTAAGCATCTGACGTCGGCTCGGGTCATGATCTCACAGTTCATGGGTTCGAGCCCCGCGTCGGGCTCTGTGTTGACAGCTCAGAGCCTGGAGCCTGTTTCAGATTCTGTGTCTCCCTCTCTCTCTGCCCCTCCCCTGTTCATTCTCTGTCTCTCTCTGTCTCAAAAATAAATAAACATTACAAAAAAAAATTTTTTTGTAAAAAATAAAATGTTCCTAATTCCATAGTGTTATAGCCACATTTAACTGATCACCACTAATTTTTTTTTTTTTTGACCTGAGACAAAAAGTAGTTGTTTGGGATGTCTTCATAAATATTAAAATGTTCAAAAATAGACATGATGACTTTACAACAGCACTTTTTTTGCCATTACAGCTTAAAGCATCGTATAGTAACTTGGAGAGATGTACAAACAGATTTTTGGCACGCTTTTAAAAAATCTCCTCAAAGCCATCCATTTGGATGAAAATCAGCACTGATCCAATCTCTCAAACCCATTAAAAGGAAATAAAGCCATAACTAAACATGAGCAAGAACTGATTTGAAAGTGAGAGCTTAATTTTTTGTATTTTAAAAAGTTGATTGCCTACCAGTGATTAATTACTCAAATAATTTAAATGTAAACTATGAGAAGTATTAAGTACTTAAAATATTCCCTACTTCTTTCTAGATGCAAACCCACAAAGATGCAAACCCACACTACGAATGTGACTCAACGCATCGGTTAGTGCCAACTGCCTATCTCTTGCTTAGAAGCTGAAGAGTGGTCTGCAGTGCATATGTCTCAGGTAACAATAGGATTGCAGAGCTGGGAAGGGCTTTGAAATGCCCTAGCCATCACCTGATTGTATGGACGAAGCTCAGAGGACCAGAAAGGTAAAGGGAGCTGCCCAAGCCACAGGGTCATCTAGGAGCAAAGCAATCATTCCAGTTCCTGATACTGTTCTGGGCTCAGACACATTTTGGCTCACACTTTGAGCCCACCAGTAACTTTGGACCAGAACAGGAGACTTGGTTTCCTCAGCCATAGAAAGAGATTGGTCATTTCTGTCACGTTGCATTGTTCTGAGGACCAAATGAGAAAATGTGTGCTAACCATTTGATAAATATTAGTTGTGCACTCACTTTCCTTCTCCCAAACTAGTGCTCCTTTCCTAGTCCATGCCCCTTCTGTGTACGTGGACATTTCAGATGTACAGAAACTCCTTATCAGCAGCTACCAGGCATTAGCTCCAGTTTCTGGCTGGATAAAATCAGGAAATGAACTACACACTAACGATGGTTTTGTCTTCCCTGCTTTCTAATGTCCACAGTGACCCTGCCATTGAGGCCAGGGGTTAGCTAGCAAGCACCAAACAATCCTTGCACTGATGGAGGATATTGGGTTCCTAATAGCATAGGTAAGTGGCAGTGATTCGTCCCCTGTCTTTTCTCTTCACCCTGCCCCTGCCTTGCTGTCCTCTTCCACAGCCAAGTGGTGCCAATGAATCAGAGCTAGGCAAAGAGCTTTTGGGGGAACACTGAGATATCCAGTTATGAAAAAATTAAATGTTCGTCTTGGTAGAAGAGAGTAAATCCTGATGAAATATTATGGCAACCCTCGTCAGCCATAGCAGGCCTTTTTTGGGCAGGAAGGGGGTCAAATCATGGTGCATCTGAAGGGTTAATTGGTAGTAACAACACATAAATAGTAAAGCATGCCATCAGTTTCTTTGCCGATAAATAGAGCATTGACTTTGGCGCATCCCACTTGTGAGTGGAGACAGCTATATCTTTACCTGCAAATTCAGACCGTTAATTATACAAAAAAAAAAGTCCTCCTCAGGATTGTGTAGTCCATTAGGTGTTTAAAACATTGGTTGTTTAACATAGTTTAAATTCTTGTTAAAACGTGGAGAAATTCATTTCAAGCCATCTCTTGGACTGCCTTATTCTAGAACACTGCCCTGTGGCTCCATGAATTTCCCAAAAACTCTTGGGTAGGGATGGAGCTCCATCTAGAATTCATTCCATTCATTAAAAATCAGTACAAGTTACAAAATCTGAACCTTGTTCATTCTGAGCCCTGTGATATGGTAAATCAGGCCAAATTCCCTCCAGGAGACAGGCCCAGGGAGTAACAAGGAATAACAGTGTGGAAATCAGAGAACAGGGGCCCTGGTCGAGCTTCTGTCCCTAACTAGCTTGGTGACCTTGGGTGGGCCCAGCCTGTCTCTGCCTTGGTGTCCTGCACACAAAATTAAGACAAAGGAACTGTAGGTGTTATAAATTCACCCACTTGATGGTATCACCTATAACTGCAATTAGGTTTCAGCTGTAGAGAAACTGGGCAGGGGTAGCTCAACTAAGTCTGAAAGTTAAACTGGGATATTTATTTCCTACAGTCCAACTAGTAGTCTAATCAGTAAAGCTGTTAAACTTGCAATAATATTTCACTGATGTGTACCAGAGCGTTGCAAGTTATAAAATTTCCAATTTAATTTTACTGCATCCCTGAAGCCGTAGTAATTAGAAGACAAACTCACAGGGAAGATGTTTATAGCTTCAGGGGTGATAATTTTGAACCTGTCCTGCAGGTCACTTCTGTCCTCAAGGTTCCCCGATTTGACAGCTGCCTGTAGACTCAGGATTTTATTGTAATATAGCAGTAACTCGTCATTCATCTGATGGGAGCAGATGTAGATGACACTCACATTGGCATCTAGAAACAACAGGCACAATGTTAATTACTGGTGTAAAGGTAAATGACATTCTGAACTCCGGCATCGGATTTATGTTGCACAGTTTAAAATAAAGAGCATATCCAAAAGCCACATTGAAGTTAATTTAGATTGGCTTTGTACGGATATTCGCAATTTAACTGGCTTTGTTTTTTGTTTTTTGTTTTTTTTTTTTGCCTTTTAGCATTTCTCTAAAGAACAGATAAATAACACCGCCACCAAAAAAAAAAAAAAAAAAAAAAAATAGACACGATTCCTTCAGAAGGAGGGCTGTGAGATACCATGGAAGTGCACTTTCAAATAATACATAGGGATTTAGCCCCAGAACTACCATTAACATCAATGGGAATTGCATACCGCTTTAAAAATTTATCCCATTAACCTCAGTAAATTATAAAACAGAGCTATTAACTTTAGAAAGCTGATGAAGTTGCAATTTCTTATTCTGCCTGGACTTGGCAGGGCCAATTCAGGGAACGTCCTGTCCAAATAAATGGTTTGATTATGACCATGGCAATGATTATTTCAGGAAACCAACCTTTTCCCTGCTCCATTCCCAAAGAGGAGTATATTACTTAAATAGGACATCTAGTGATTCTTGGTTTAAAGAAAACACTGTCTTAATTTAACTGTTTTTCTTCTTAAGATGTGCTTATTATGTACATAGAAAGAAATCCTAATTAAATATCCCACCCAAATGGCATAGTTAGATGAGATTACCCACTCCAGGCTGCAGGGGTTTAAGATTTTAAGGAGCAGGGACAGGAAATCAGCAGCCAATGGAGTCCTTCATTCATTCATAAAATAACTGGCTGATCAGTAGGGGCAGAGCACTTGGCTGGACATGGAGGGAAATAAGCCACTGAGAGGCTGCCGTGAGGAGCAACCATTTCATGTGCACAAACACTCATCAAACATGGGGTGGAGAGCAGTGGGCACAGGGAAACTCCCAGACCAGGTGCTAAGGGAAGTTCAAGGGAGGGACTGCTGTAAAATGTTTCTTTGGTCAGGTAGGGCTCTGAGGGGATTTTAAGACTCCTCTGTTAAGTCTGGCAGAGTATATAGAACACAGAGTGATTAAATTCTAGCTCAGATGCCTAGGAATGCCGGGCACACCATTTATCCTTCCTAAGCATTGGTTTCTTCATCTCTAAAATGGAGAATAGAATCACCTGGGCATAGAGTTTTGAAGAGTATTAAATGAAAGAATATATATAAAGCACCTGGTGCCATATTCGGCACATGGTAGGTACTCAACAAACAGTAGCCATGTGCGAATCTGCCGCTCGGACCACTCTGACTAGGGCAAGCCAGCAGTGATTCTGCACCCCGCCCTCCACACTTGTGCTCCTTTAATCCATGCTTCGAGATTTAACATGATGTAGTATCCTCTGTGGTTTCATCCTATTGTTTCAAATCTATTGATCTTGTCTCTCCAAACTCTTTAAAGGCAAGGTGTATGCTCTTTCCTATATTCTCCCAAGCCTCGGTACCGAGTGGAGTACACAGAAGCCACTCAAGACATACTTGTGGCTCGACCAAAGGGATTTGGAAGACTGGAGAGATTTGGGAAGTAGAAAATCTTACACAATGGCCTGTGGGAGAAATCTTCCCTGTGGAGGAGTGTCCCCTGACCTGGCCCGGTGCTGAGCCCAGAGCAGGCACGCCATAAATGTAAATATTTAAGTGGGGTCCCTATTTCATTTTGAAACCCAACTGCAACATAAACTCCAAAATAAATCAATTGAGGGAATAGTAAATAACTTGTATTCAGTTGCTGAATGATCAAATCATATATCCCAATCTTGTGTTTTCAAGAAGGGACTGGTGTCTTATTAAACTAATGGTATGGCACAGCTCTTCTTCTGAAGGAATCATTGTATCTGTTTTTTTGGTGGTGGTTTTATCTTTTCTTTAGAGAAATGCTAAAATGCAAAAAAAAAAAAAAAAAAAAAAGCCAATTGCACTGTGAAGATCTGTACAAAACCAATCTAAATTAACCTCATTGTGGCTTTTGGGTGTGTTCTTTATTTGGTTTTAAAAACCAAACTAGTATTTTTTTAAAGTATTTTTTAAGAAAGACAAAAACAAACAATGAAAATAAAGATTCCGTAGGTGAAAAAACTAAATGTTTCTTGGGAAGAAATTTCTAAATTACAAATGACAACCAATCGTATTGCTAATCTCACCTTTCCTATGTATTTCTGGCAAAAGAATACGTACCACTAACGCTAATATATGATATTAGTATGGTTTGTGAATCTGCAAATGCTCAAAATTAATTGACAGGTAATTTTGGAAAGCAATTAATATGAAGACAAAGATTGCTTTGGTTGCTAGTCAATAGTCAATAAAAGCCACTCTCTTGCTTAACTCCTCTAGGAATTGAAAATACTAGCCATTGGGGTCTCCACCTGACACCCTGACTTCACAACCAATATCTGAATGACAGGTCTTACCAACCTGATCAGATCTCTTTGTTTCCCATGAAGAAGCAAAAACGCGACACACTTTGCTAGGAATTAATGGAATAATAATTTAAAAAATGATCATCATTTATTCTTACATAAAATTACTCATCTTCCTAGTTTCTTCATTTTTTTCTTTAAATTTCACAAGCAAGTGCTTTTTCTGCCCTCTAACAACTGTTTCTAAACTTCCATTACTCCTCTTGAAGAGGGTTTAGGATCGGATCGCTATATCATGACGAGAGTGTACCAAAAAAAGGCATTTGGTTCATAGTATCTCAGAAATGATCATATTAGCAAAATTTTCCATCACAGGTAGGCATAGACTGAATTATTGAGTTATTTAAAATAGAAACCGAATACTTTCAAGTCTTTCAAATAATGAGACTCTTTTGTAAAGAAATTCTTTGGTGATGGTTTGTGCTATATATAGAAGGGTATATAAAAAGCTAGAGAAAAAATTAATGCAAATAAATTAGAGCAAAGTCTGCCCTCTGCTGCAGTTCAGTGGTTTCCACCCAGTCAGGTTTTTAGTTGAAATAGCTCAGCACTAACAAATCAATCTCAAGTCATTAAAAAAAATTTTTTTTGTAACACTGAAAAACAATATTAGTGCCTACATAATAGATTAAAGCAATTACACTATTATTATTTTAGGACACTGTAAATTTCTAGTACTGATGTATTTTTGTTACCAAATGGCATTTATAAAATAATAATGATGCTGAAATATATATGAATCGTGTAAAGTATGTCATTCCAGGGAGCCAGCTAAGTTGGTCATTGATAATTTAAAATTCTTCCTTGTTCTGCTTAAATAAGGGCCGAAGCAGTTATATTTTCACAAAAACACAGAAGTTCTTATTTAGTAACTAATAAAAACCTAGTTTTTGTTTACCCTGAATTTTTGGCCAGTACCTCCTAAACCCATTCAGTATTAGTGCTTAGCCTTGGCAACCTTTATTCTTTAAGCCTCACTTAAACCCTCGCCTTGAATAGCACTGACCAAAGCCATGGCATTCTTGTATTCTTCTTTCCTGGCCCAGGTTGGTGTCTGATTTAGAACTGATCAAGCCAGTATCAGAACTTGACTTTTACAAAAATGTATCTACAACTCAAGGTTTATATTTCTAAAAATTCCCTCCACGAGCATCTCCTTTCTTCTAATAACAAGATGATATATATTTAAATAAAAGCTTCTTTTAAAAGTCTATCTTCTCATCCCTCTTAGTCTTATAATGAAAACAATGCTTTTCATTTCTGATACCACTTTCCACTTATTCCCCAGATAATAGAATAGACAGTATTGACACAAATGTAAAATGTTGGCTTCATTCACTGCCAGATTCAGTAAATGAAGATTTGAGGCTATAGGGGAGAAATCCTCAGAACTTAGAAAAGCTACCCAACTAAATTAATTAAAAATGTCATTTTCTAACTCAAGTTGACTCCACTATAAATCTGTTCTTTAAAACAAAACATGTAATTGCCCCCTGCAAAGTAGATTAGAAATCCACACTTTTTCCTTGTAGGGGGGGAAAAAAAGCAAAAAAATAAACACTTTTATCAACATCCTCTGATAAACATTCCAAAGAGTCATTTGCGTGAAAGTATTTACTGTACCTAAGATGTCACACAGCCTCCCCAGCTGCATGTTCTGCTTTGTGTTGAAGTCGGCAATATTTTGTCGCACAGGCTGGGAATATCCTAAAAGACAAACAGGGTGTCGAAACGCAGAAAGAGCAAGTCAGTATGGCAAAATGGCACACTAGGATTTCCAAGTGTCACAGTCCACATTTCCAGGAAAGAATTTTCTCTGCAGCATCCTGTAGACACAATCTAACTCCTGACACTGAGATCCTTGCTTCTCAGGGGATTAAGCATTATTCTGGAAGACGTGCTAAGCAGCATATTCTGCAAGAGAAGAGTTCATATTTTTCAACACCAGCAAAATCACCGGGAATCAAGATCAGAAAAACATGAGGAAAATTTCTGACATTTAACGTGAAGGTTCAAAACAACATTGAAGAAAATTATTGCTCAGGGTTTAAAACAAAAACAAAAACAAAACTATGTTGGCTCTTTTAACTTGTGCTTTCTGTGGAGCATTTTGAAGATGTGTCCCCAGAATCATTCTAAACTGACACACAGATTTCAGAGACACCCCTTGCTGTCAGGAATATGCGTTTAAGTAATTCTGAATACTTAAGAAATATGCTTCTGCTCACCGGGTCAAAAGAAATTTGAACCTTTTAAAGGGCAATAAAGGTTAATGCAGTTACTTTGTCAGCACTAATAAAAGTCCTGTGGCTGGCCTTCATGTTCCCTGGAAACAGAGCAGGAGAAAATTGCGTATGGATTACTGTTGTCCAAAAATCTTTCACAAAAGGTGCAATGGCGGCAACACTTTGTGCTGGCATTTCAGGGGTTAAGAAAATAAGTGGCTCAAAACATGAACTTAAAAGGCGTGCGTCCTCACAGGCAGGTATAATTGCTTATATGAAATTCAGCAACTGTAGGTGCAACTTTTTTTTTTTTTTTTAAGTAAAATTGCTTATCACATTTTGAAGAGATGCTTCAATGCCTCCTTGTGGTTAGTGAGCCCAAACACATGTTTCAAGTGAAGCTGCTATAGATAAAGTGATTTTAAATATTGCCTCTTTGAGTTGTGACACAGATTTCCTTTTCGGCATAAGGAAAACTATAGCAATTCAGGCAACAGGGCTTCAGATCAAATGCACTCTGATAATTGGCTCTTTGCTTTGATGTCAGTGTTTAAACACTAGACAATGTCTGGAAATTAAATGAGTGTACAATTCATCTTAAAGTCTCCCATTTGCTTTATGCAGATGAACTTAAGAACTAAAGAGGCAGAAGGACAAACTAGGTGACTTATGTTTGAAAAATTATTTATTTCTGAAGTAGTTTCGGGAACTTCATTCCACATATTAAAGTTAATACAGACTGCTGCAAACAATGCTGTCTTGATGTGTGATCGTTTTAACTTATTGTAGGATTTTGCATATTGTATAATTCTGTTGATATTCAGATAACTGTTTAGGAAGATGTATTGTGAGTAACTCCTATATCAAAACTATAAGAAGGCAGGAAAAATGCCTAAAGGATAAAGTATGAATAAGAAAAGTGCCTGAGAGCATTCCATGAATGCGTTTCCTTTCAGAAGTAAAGATAAAAGGCAGTGTGAGATGTCTCATTAAGATGATGTCCAATTTAAAATATAAAGGATGTCTGATCACTTTGTTGCCGCGTGTGCAGCATGTGAGTGAGTAAGTCTGTGTTGCAACCAAGAGCTGGAGGTCAGTTTTCCAACAAATGACTTGGTACCTCTGTTACCATTGATCAGAATGCGTAATAAAATGTCTATGAAAAATTATGATAGAACCGGTTACCAATTCACCTGTTTCAAAGAACTGAAAGCAATCTCAGAACGTTGTTATAGAGGATCATATGAAGTAACAGATATGAAGACATTTTGTAAATGCTGTGTAAACATAAGGTATTTTGATGTTATGGGGGATAGACGTACTTCCAAAGCCTATAACAACGGCAACAACAAATCCTGTGACAAGCAAGAGACCATTCTACATGGACAAGATACAATGTAATGACTGTTGCCATCCCCAGAGCAGAAGTTGGGAGTCAATTTGTTTTAAGTCAGATTTATAATTACGTCTTTAAAAAAACTAAAAAAAAAATTTTTTTTAATGTTTATTTATTTTTGAAGGAGAGAGAGAGACAGAGTGTGAGTGGGGGAGGGGCAGAGAGAGACACACAGAATCTGAAGCAGGCCCCAGGCTCTGAGCTGTCAGCACAGAGCCCGACGTGGGGCTCGAACTCACAAACTGCGAGATCATGACCTGAGCCGAAGTCGGACGCTCAACCAACTGAGCCACCCAGGCACCCCGTTTTTAAAAAAAATTTTATGTTTATTTATTTTTGAGAGAGAGAGAGAGAGAGAGAGAGCGGGAGAGGAGCAGAGAGAGAGCACAGCACAGAATCTGAAGCAGGCTCCAGGCTCTGAGATGTCAGCACAGAGCCCAACGTGGGGCTCAAACTTATGAACTGCCAAATCATGGCCTGAGCCAAAGTCAGATGCTCAACTGATTGAGCCACCCAGGCACCCCTATCCTTATGTCTTGTACACCCACAGAGTACATGTGTTGACACCTGGGTGAAAAACCCTCATTGATGCTGATAGTGCATATATTAAATACAATAGTGACTTAACCAGTGGCTATCAGCAAGGATGCTGTGGCGTTGGGGCGCTCAGCAGACCTGCTTGGAGGTGATGAAACATGACACTTGAGAATATAATCTACGGAGACATGGTACTTCAAAGGTCACTGGGGGAGCCTTGAGACACCATCTACTTCAACCCTGTCATGTTACAGATAAGGAAATTCAGTTTAAGTGTCTTGCCTCTTGTCTAAGATCATATATACCTGCACATTACTATACAGTTTGGACAGGACATATTTAGGTCTTGCAGAAATGTGGTTGCATAAAAGAAGAAAGAAGGCAACACTCATCAGGTGGGAGCAGAGATCTCCAGAAGGGATAAAGTCTTTGCCTCTTCTCTCACTTTTATTTCTAATTGTTGCTGCAGGCAGAAAATGGCCCTCCAGAGATGTCCGTGTCCTCATCCCTGGAACTTGTGAATACGTTAGGTTACATGGCAAAGGGGAAATCAAGCTGCAAATGGAATTAAGCTTGCTAATCAGCTGACCTTGAAATAAGGGGATTGTCCTGGATTATTTGGTTAGATCCAATGTAATCACAAAAATTCTTAAAAGTAGAAGAGGGAAACAGGAGAGGAGAGAGTCAGAGAAGGTGTGACCATAGAAGAAAGGCACAGAGAGATGTTTGTTGCTGGTGTTAAAGACGGAAGAAGGAGGCCAATGGCTCTCTTCATTCACTCCTTTGTGGGTAGCTTCTAGAAGCTGGAAAGGGGAAGGAAACAGATTCTCCCATAGAGCCTCTAGAATGGAACACATCCTACCAACACCTTGATTTAGCCCCTCTCGGACTTCTGAACAAAGAACTATTACTTTAAGGGAATACTTTTTTATTGTTTAAGCCACTTAGCTTGTGGGAACTTGTTAGACAGTGACAGGAAATGAATACGTTGCCTCCCTTTCAACTTTTATAAAATGGGTTCTCTGATCTGGAGAATTTGGGGGAGATCAGAGAATGGTGAGTGGGACCTCTAGCCTTTTCTGGGTCCTCATCATCGCAGGAGGCAACAGCACTGGCATAACGGGGAACTCTCTCTTCCTTATCACTTTAGAGAGGGACCCAGCCTCCTTCCTTATGGCCATCCTCTTTGACAGAGTGTTCCGTCATTTCTCAAAATGTTATGCCTCTGCTTCACTCCAGAGGAGGATACCTGAGAGACACCTCTTTGAAGTTACCCGACTACTTTTGGTCTATTGAGCCAAGGACGCTCATCAGTGGTTCCTGGCCATCAGCCCCTCCACCTTCACCCCTTCGTTCATCTCCTCTCCCTTCCCTATCCCCACTCCCGCACAAACTCCTATCAGATGATGCTAATGGCCTCTTTGCACCCAGGGAACTGGCTCTGCTGGTGTTGGCCTTTCTTCCACAGAAACCACAGAAGCCCATGAGTGAGGCCGTGCTCAGTGACTGTGCCTCCTTGGGACCGGTGTGTGCCTCTGTGACAGGCCTCTACTGTTGCACTAGAGCACATACTCTTGAACAGCCTGCTTATCATCCTGTAGTTGACTCCTAGTTCCTTTTGTCTCCAAGTCATATTCCTTCCAGGGTCCCCGAGGCAGAGAAGGGGTTAGCAATGGACTTCTAGTTACCAAGTCGTCATTTATCTAATCACCCTGGCCTGAGATGGTAGTCAGCCGTGCCTCAATTTGATGGACTGGAGCAGAAGTTCTCAACCTTTTCCCCATTTTGAAACACGTGCTCTGTGATGTTCACATGCATCACACACTCCTACAGGCATACATCAGGTGACAACAGCAGTAGTGATAACTCCATCCCTTTCTCTTCCATTCAAGAAAGCATGCTTAGGGGCGCCTGGGTGGCGCAGTCGGTTAAGCGTCCGACTTCAGCCAGGTCACGATCTCGCGGTCCGGGAGTTCGAGCCTCGCGTCGGGCTCTGGGCTGATGGCTCAGAGCCTGGAGCCTGTTTCCGATTCTGTGTCTCCCTCTCTCTCTGCCCCTCCCCCGTTCATGCTCTGTCTCTCTCTGTCCCAAAAATAAATAAACGTTGAAAAAAAAAATAAAAAAAAAAAAAAAAAGAAAGCATACTTGGATGCGAGCTGAGCAAAAGTGACATTGTTATAGAGATAATCCTGAATTACTCCAGTTCATAAAGAAAAGTTAACATCCAGCTTTGGTAGTGTAACTGTAAAAATTTCAGGGAACATGTGACATATGTCACAATCAATTATCCATTAGCATACTGCAGTCATCCAGAGAAATGTGATCTAGACATTATGGTTATACCCAGGTTTTAATTACTTGTGCAAGTGTGAGAGCGCAAGCTACTGAGATAAGAGATTAACGTACAGTGAGAGCCTAGCTGGTTATTTATATGTATGTAGTATATCCAGTGCCAGATTGATGAAAATAAAACTGAGCATTGTCTTGGGGGGACCGCTAAGGGGGATTAGGTAATTTTGTGATGGTGACATAGAAAACATAGGAGGTGC